TGGGAGCGATCATGGAGGGGAGTCGTACAGAGAGCCTCTTGTAGGTGGGGGTCGTACCGACGTACCGAGACCCTTCCCCGGGGAAGGGGTCGTTCTGACACCACCATTTCACACATCACGATGCTGTACCCTGACTGTGGGGGCACACTATGAGCACTATGAGCACTATGCGCAGTGCAGAAAATATCGAACACGAATGAGGTGGGGCTACCAGAGGAAGCTGCCCTCACCCGGGATCAAGACAATACTGTCCACAATAGCATCCGCATGTCCACCTGGTAATGGAAGCTCCTTTATCACTTATCAGTTGTTCAGTGTAGCGCGCTCTGTCCTATTCTATAAATCACTAGGCAAAGGGATCAACTCGTTACTATGAGGACAATAATAATGACAAAGCGCAATGAAGAACCTTCTTTAATGGCGTTCTCAACGAACTCTACGCCATCTTGGATAAGAGAATGATGATATTTCGAATCCACAACACCGAACCATTTGGTTGCAACGTTCATCACTACGTCGTCGATATCAACAGCAGTGATGTTCACCTTTAAAAAACATTTTTGTACAGGAAATAACTCCTTCGAGATGAAAAGCTCTCTTCACCTCAGGAAGAAGACGATATTTTTCCAAACTGTTTTCGTTTTTTGTGAGGAAAAAATAAGAGGAAAGACTTGAGAAAGAGTCATGTTCGTTGCGGGTACTGGGCGTGTCATGGGTGGAAAGCAGGTTAGTGCCGCGCCAAAACCCATCCACCCCTTGACACGCCCCAGCATCCGCAGAGAACAAGACTATATCTGCCTATCACTCACGTAAGGTTTCAGTGCATGTAGACCCATGTCGAAAGTTCCACCGCCAAGTCCAATTTCCAGAACTTGTTTGCCGCTGTCGTTTGAATGTAATGACAGTGATGACATGAGAAACGGTGCACCCACCATACGAGCTATCTGAACCGCATTTATTTCAAATATTCTAACTACAATGTTGGCGTCAATTTTTCCTGTGAGAGCCCTTAAATCTGGACTCAGCTCGTCACACACGCGACAGGCACCCCCCCCCCTCACCTCCAGTTGGCGGCAAGGCAAAATTACCGTTTCTGATGGGTGACCGATGTGGTACCAGCGAATGAACTCTCGTGAGGGGAGACCCTAGTGACATCTCCACCTCACCGTTAAGTATCAAAAGATGGAGCGTGAAGAGCTGATCTTAACCATCTGATGGGTGCATTGGAAAATAGGTAGAAAATGCGCTATTGCGAAAAGAAGAGTGCGAAACTGCATTACGCTCAATATTTTTGAACAACTGGGGCGAGTTCAATATAACCTTCCTAAGTCACTGCTTCCCTCTGCAAAAATGTGAAACGCGAAAAAAAAAATCCAATCTGTTATTTTCTAAGAAATAAATGTGTAACCTTACATAGGATGCCACGAAAGTATGGCGATCAATCGTCCAGTTTTTGAGATCAACACAATAGGCTTTGTTTAGTTCAATATTTTCACCTAAATAACTGTGAATGAAGGCGTTGGAATGTGTTACATTGACCTGAATTACTGAACTTTTAGCTTTGAGACCGATTTGATCGTTTTGCAGCTTCGAAAAGAAATGCCCCTCAAAAGCCTTACCATCTTTTGGGAATAGAGTACAGCAGGGAAGTCGTGCGCTGAGGACCGTCAGCGAGGAGGGAAGTATCCAGCAGCTGGAGCCAGGGTTTCGTTCTCACCTTTAAGAAAATGTTTCCGGTTGTCGATTGAATTCCCTTGCGCTCGCCTCCCTCTGTCCCCGCTCCGCGACAGATCTCCGGAGAACACTGGAGTATTATTGGAAAAAAAAATTTTTGGAAAAATTTAGGAAGGAGCATGTAGGATGGACAGGCGACAAGAGTGGAGTCGTAATGCAAGGAATGAAATTTTTGACGGACTCAAATTTCAACGGCAATACGTGCCTGCCAGGTATTTAGCAAATCACGCATTGGTATATAGATAGAAGTGCACGAGGAGTATGAAAACAGTCGAGAAGCAAGCGTAAAATTTTCTTGACAGACCACCGAAGTTCCATGAGTTTACAACCTTTTTCGCTTCGAAAAAAGCAAATGTAAAATGAAATATAACATATGCACTCACCTTCAGGAGGTAGAAGGCTGATGAGCGACTCTCCAAGCACATTAGGACGCCCATCATATATTGAATACAGGACCATCAGAAAACGATTTTGAGCGCTGTGAAAAAAAAGTATGAGATGTACCACTGAAGATTAATCGGTCTTTGAAAGGTCTTGCGTTTGGCATCCAAGCAGAATCGTAGAGAAATTCGAAAGAGTCGAGAGACACAAAATATATAGGGTTTTGATGGTTTCTGACAACTCAGCACTCCTCCCCCTTTCAATCGCGTCGCGGCGCCACTCCGCATTAGGTCGGTCGGCAGGATCACCTTGTGGCGACGGGATTTTTTTCCCGCTATGCAGTTGACTCGAAATTCTTGATCACTTGTATTTCGAACCAGTTAGGTCTTGTTGAGAATGATGGCGCTTGCAACGAAGCGCCATTGCCGCAAAAAATTACGGCTGGACGCTGTCCGTCAGCGATCCGTAATTTTTGCGGCAGCTGTTGTGTCAAGACTACACAGTCAGGGTACATCACTAATTAGGGATCTTGGTCGAGTCCGTAAGATCCCCCTTTTTGAGGGGGTTGCTACGACCCCTCGCCTACCTTTTCTTTTCCCAACTTCTTGCCACTTTTCCCGGAATTTCTCGGAAATTCTTCACTTCTACCCAAAAACATTGCTGACGAGCGGAGGAGGTAAATAGCACACATGGGGCAGGATAAACCACGAAAAGTCAGCAATCTTTTTCAGAAGGCCAGAAGTGAAATACGTCCCGCCTCTTTATAACGTCCCTAAAACAAGAAAAATCAACTATCAAAAAATTTTCTCAGCCTAAATACGACCCCCCCCTCCCAGCGACCAAATACGACTCCCCTGTTGGGAATCCCCAACAACGATGTGCCCTGTGCACAGTAAAGTAGCTCATAGCTCGTGTCGGAGACAGTGTTGAAGGCTTCAAAAATATGCAATTAGGGCTGCCATGTAGAGGGAGAAAATGACGAGAAAGCGAAGTTAAACGTGAAAACCCGCGGAAAAGTCTTTGTGCCGCACGGCGGTGGGCGAGTAATTCTGGACGAGTTTCCCGTTGGCGTCTTGCCAACATCGCTATGATAGGTACGGCCGCACGTATGTATTCTCGAAGCCATGCAGCAACGCTTCATATCAATTGTGCTTCATAAATGAAGCGATAAGAGTACCAGCGTCGATGTGACTGTGCGGCCATTTGTGGGCGGGCGGTTGCAGTGGGCGTTGGGTCGGCATGTTGCACCTTGGTCAGGCCCTATAAAGTTGCCTTTGTAGGAAGAGAAGCTACGCAGGGCTTTTTAAGAAGCATATTCGTTCGTGCTAGGCCAACCCTGTACACCTTGTCGATTTATCGTATCACTTCTTGCTTTCTAAGATAGTATCTAAATATTGCAGTGGTGTTGAAGATTCTGTCGTCCCACTGCAGGTGGCTGCAAACATTCCATAGCGGAGGAATCAGCGAAAATCACTCACAAATTCAATTTCCTGATGTAAATTGTATAGCAATCCTTGAAGTTGTCGTGGCACATCCTGTCAACTTTGACTGCACCTGAAATCATAACCTTATCGTGACCTGGAACAAATAGGTTTTGCAACAGAGACAGTGGGTTAATTGATGTTCATGGCCCAGTAACAAAGCAAGCATTGATTACGATGATGTCTTCTGTTGAGTTATTTTGACATCAATGACGTGATCATAGCCTTCTTCACATCAAGCTCTATTCATACGGTTAATAATTTGTTTAACAAACATGAGTTCTTGATAAAAAAGGCGAGTTCTTGCTGGAAGGCGAGGGACTTTCCCACAAGAGCGATGTTTCAGAGAAGGCGAATTCCGCTGCGAATGAAACCAGCCGATTACCCTGAGCCCAGCGCCCTCGGTTTATTTGTGAATCCGTCAATCAACTACCAGGCCCCGATGCGGAAGAGTCTCTGGCCAGTTTCATAAGCTAAATGGGATTGCATGTTCTCTACAAGAACGACAAGCTGTGCTCCCCGGCTTTCACGTCAACTGTAGCAGTCTGCTTACTCGACTTTCTACGAAGAGAAATAAATCAACATAAGGATATCTTTGCATCTCACAGTATTCACTAGAGAAGAGGATGAAATAGCAGTTTTCAGACAGAAAACAAGTTCACCGGCAAGGTTTTTCGTAATAAGAACAACTACCTCCTCAAATTAATAATGATAAGGGCTCCAACAAATAACACAGTTTAGTGCATGCAGGCCAAATCGCTGCAAGTGCTGGAACCTGTTAGGGGCTTGGTTTGACGCCGCACCAGCCCGTTTTCACCAATTGTAGTCGCTTGCCAGCTTCCTTGATTGGTTCGCCGCGCCCACTCCGTTTCAGTTCTGTTGTTTTTTGAACAAAACATCGTTTGCAGTGATTCTTATCTGTCCACACTTCATTTCTCCATGTACACATGTAATAAATAAACAAATAAATGTGCACTAAGAACAAACCCATCCTTCACTTCTATGCATTCCTCACCGATGACAACGAAAATGTTGCTCTGAAAATGATACCGGTTTAGCATTTAGTGCCTTGGAAATGAATACCTTCATTGCCATCACAGTCGTTAATCCCAAATTTTCTCTCCTAAATTTACCACTCCCCATATTTTCACGAGCTTCATTGTCAGGACCCCGGTCACGAATGACACATTCGTCCTTAGCGTCGGCACAACTTGTCGCCAACTAGCTGCTATATTTCATGCGTGAGCCACAAAAATGTCGTTCATTCTCGCTGCGCACTTCTGAGCCGACCAAAGAAAGGGTTAACAATGAGTGTGATAGTTTGGACCTCGTGGGAGACAAAATTTCGCATTGACAATATACTATATTATTTGTTTTCATACAGGTTGGAACCTTTCGCCTGGACAGAAACGCTTCTAAAACACCCGAATCTTTTGTCAAAAAGCAGAAAGGCTTGGTGTCGCCAAATTCGTCTTTGTTCCCCTCTCTTAGCTTTCCCAGAAGCGCGCGAATGAACTGCACTGTTATTGTCCCTGCATTAACCTGCCCAACAGTTTTGTAAATGAGCACAGCGAACTGAAAAGAATCCCTTGTCAGTGTAATTGCCTTGTCGGCTTTAAACTGACTGCTGTTTTCGAAAAGCAGGCACACTGCCCCTTAGAATGGATGAGCAGCGCAAAATGTCAGGAACTATCGATAATCCATATAATCGTCAGTGATTCAGAAATTATATAAGAAGAAAAGTATAGAAACTCGTCTCACAAGCATAACGATGGCGACGAAGATGAACATCATGGGCAGCGGCATCACTGAACACATTGTGAAATGTTCAGTTGAAGAGGAGTTTCAATCAGTTCTTCTATTCAACCGACTAGTTTCCCCTCATAAATCTTCCGTGTCGCTGATGATCGAACTCGTCAGAAACGAAAGAGCAAAAACGCGTTGCAAAATTGATTTTCTTCTGAAGCTGACTTCTGTCTGAACTTGCTCTGGAAAACCGTTTATCACTTCGCTGCAAGAATAAAGAAGTAAAGGACGTTTTAATTACGAGGCAGGCATGCAAATATGAATATGTGGAATGGAAGAGATCTTCGTACTGAATATAATCCGCTCAGCACCTGACGAAAGGGCACGAAATCCATCGTGCCCTTTCCGGTAACAGAGGGCATCGTGAGGTTGCGAGGGTACTAGCGGACAGAACGGAACTATATTAAGGATGATAGAAAAGTCGATAACAGCTGGTGAGAGCAAAGAGTTCTTTAGAAAGGGAAGGATCACCAGTTCATTGCTCACATCTACTGGCAATAAGTTGGACGAAGTGGCGAAGCTGGGTTCGCTAAGAGTATGCAATATCGGCGTTGTCGCGGAAGAATTAGCCAGTTGGTTTACAGGCAAATGAAACCAGGTTTCTATGTGTAACGAAGGAAGGCATCCGCAGTTGCAGTATAGCGTGCCATTTTCTCCGCGTCAAAAATGCACGGGGTAGAGGGAGCATGCCCGCCTGGATGACGCTTCCATACTCCTCTTGCACTGCAGCACGGCCAGCCAGGCACTTACCCATGCAGGCTACCCAGGCCCACCCATGTTTCGCTGCGGGACCTTCTTATCGCCGCAAGTGCTGCACCTCGAGGATAGCGCGGGTGCAGCATGCAGGCACTTATCGAGTCCCACTTCCACACAATCCGTTCCCGTACACTTCCGAGCGAAGAAAGTGGCATTCACCTAGAGCTGCGGACCCATTCGCCTCGCCCAAGACAACGTTGCTCTCTAAATAGTTTTAAGGCCTGTCGGAGCCCCAGTGGCGCACATTTTCTCGTTCCGTGACGCAGGGTGTGCGATTCTGACAGAGACTGAAGAGGTAGAGCCAACGCTGGGATGGGTAGGGCATGGGACAAAATGTACAGTGTGGCATATACTGCTAACCTCCTTCCACACTGGGCGGCGCCGAATGTGAGGTGTCGCAGGTGAAAATTCATAATTCGGTTCTAAGGCAGCCTAGGGATGGGGAAAATGTGGACGAAGGTTAGCAGGTGGTTGATACACTGGTTGGGGAAGACAAACCTGATATGGGCGAGACCTAATCGAGTGGGCGGTGATTCCACCGGATTCAGTAACTCGGTTTCTGGAGGTCACAAAAGGTCTATGGAGACGAGGAAAATCTGGATAGAGTTGGGCGTGTCTGTGGCGTTTGAGTCCCGCTCGCAATGGGCGAAGCGCACCCTCAAAAATACGTGCTCATTTCAAAAAAAAATGGACATGAAAAATCATGGAAAGTCGAATTCGGAGGAATTATAAAAAGGTAATAAAGAAGAAAAAAGGATTTGATGAAATAGAAACTTCAGAGGAAGTGGTGAAGTTGGTTCGTCCCGTAAATATTACCTACAAGGTGTGAAGCAAGAAACAAAGAAAAATGTGGAGAAGGTTCACTCAATGAAACTTGCGCGGACAATTCCGTAGCGGCGCACTTTGGTGATGAAAAGTGGAGAAAGTGGTGAAAATCGGATATCGGATATTGATAACGGTCAATTGATGACAAGTATCGAGATGAACTCGCTCGAAATTAGCAAAGATATCGCTTCAAGAATGAATGTATCAGCT